TGTGGTGTTGAGTATAAAACCCAATGCCTCACACATGCAAGGCAGGTGCTCTACCACTGAGCCCCAGCCCCAGGCCCTAGTGAGTCCTTTTAAGTTGGTATCTCATGCCCCATGTATTATAAGATCTATTCATTCTGGCAGACAGAAACACAAATGAAATATTATCCAATTCTGTGTGAGCTCTGGGAACTGATTGGCCTACCCACTGATTGTGCACACTTGTATGTTTTAACTCCCAGCTTAGTAGAATTTTACCTTTGCGTGTACATGTCAGCAAATTTTTTCTTTGAGTGGAACTGTGTCTTGATCCCAGATTCTCACACGCTAAGTACACACCCTGTCACTGAGCTACCTCCCAGGGGCCAGCCCAACACTGAGGGGGACATTCTATAGATATCCAAACTTCTCTGTCATTTCCTCATCTCCAGTGTTCTGCCTTTCCATTTCTGGCCAACTCCTCCAACAATTCCAATCTCTTTCTTCTATACTCAAGCCCGAGGGCTCTATTGTGCTCCCTTCTAAGCAGTGATCCTTACCACCTAGTTCAGGAGAGCACTTCTAGGCAGTAAGCTGAGACAATCATAGGGCCTTTATTTCCCTTTTCTCAAAAAGTTCTGTACCACCTGCTATCCTGTGTCTGTAAACATTTTAAAATACTTTGTTTCTGTTTTTGTAATTTATAGTGGGAAGGCAATTTGTAGCTGTGATTCCTTCATGAGTGGAAGTAGGAGTCTTCTTGAGCCAGATGGTTTTTCAGCTAGAAACGATTGGAAGCTACACTCCTAAGGGAAAGGACTCTGAAACACCAAGACAAGTGTATAATAATTACCCCAGTCCTATCCCACAGAGACTTGTGACCTTTTATGTACATAATACAAATCAGAGAAAGAGGAATACCTAAATCTTTTGAGAACTGTTGGATATAGTTTTATTTGACATTCACATCCCAGGATCTGATATCCTACCATTGTGGACCTCTATTACAGTGGCAGTGCAGAATGACAAAACTCAGGTTCAGGTCTGGCTCTCAGGACAATCAGGACAGTCTGAGGACAATCACAGGCTCCAGGGAGAACAGTCAAAGCAGGATCTCCTTTACTGAGAAAACACACACAGCTAATATAATGTGCAGTAGCCAATCAGGGTAAAGGTCAGCAGGGTGGGGAGAGTTCACATGTACACCCCTCCTACAGGCAGTAACGGGAGACATGAGCTGTGAGCTGTCCGTGAGGGCAGAAGGGTTCTGAGCCTATCCTAGAGGTGGTCCATTTCTTCATCACAACCCACAGCAATGCCTTCTGGCTAATCGCTAGGTGCTCTCATAGCCACCTGTGGCCCCAGGACTGGGAAGCGGGTAGCAGTCAGCAAGTTAAGTTTCCTCTTTTCTGATGCAACATGCCCCACATTACATCATGCCCTACACAAGTGCTGGGGATGTGGCTCAGTAGTTAAGCGCCCGTGGGTTCAATCCCTGGTACTTGCTTTCACTATTGAGAAATAATAATACACAGTTATAGCTCATCCCTGGACCATGCCCAACCCTCTGTTAAAACATAGTATGAAGGGATGTGGCCCATCTGGACATTCCATACATCCTAGTACTTTATTGGTAATTGTACAGGATGAGCAAGAAATGGCAAGAAATGGGGCCTTGGCAGAATAAAAGTTCTTCAAATGGTGATACAAACTGAGTACAAGCAGGTTTTCAGAATCCTGCCCGTCAGCGAGGTTCCTGGAAGTTCAGTGATCTGGAGCACAAAAGGATATTCCCTCATAAGTAAAGGAATTTGCATTTTACACCTCTATTAAGAAGGGAGCTCAGTGCCTGGTAAACCTCTTTGAGGTTTACAGATAGTATATTCCACCCGTGGGACTGAAGTGGCACCCCCTTTCTCCACAGAAAAGCCCTCTTCACCATGGCTGATTTTAGGACTGTCAGAAAAAGAGTCCATTGTAGATAAACTTCCTATTTTCATGTCGCCCTGTTTAGCTTGGCCACTGGCTGAGAAGATACAGCACTCCAGGTGCTGGACACCCCCTTACTAGTTTTTCACAAATGTATCCAGT